TGCTTTGGTCAAGGCTCACCTAGAATACTGTGTCCAGGTTTGGAAACCAATGTTCAAGAAGGATCTTGAAAAGCTGTAACGTGTTCAGAGAAGGGCAACCAAGATGATCAAGGTCTGGAAACCAAGCTTTATAAAGAGCTCAATATGTTTAGCTTGGAGACGAGAAGCCTAAGAGGTCATAATATAATAGCGGTCTTTAAACATCTAAAGGAATGTCACATAGAAGATGGAGTGAGCTTATTTTCCCAGAGAGTAGGACATAAAAAAAAATCAAACCAAATTACAAGAAAAGAGAATAATCTGAATCACAGAATTTTCTGACTGTAAGATCTGTTGGACATTGGAATAAACTGCCTCTGAGAGTGGTGGACCATCCTTCTTAAGAGGTCTTTAGACATAGATTGGATGGCCATCTCTCAGAGGTGCTTTGGCTGTGTATTTCTGCATAGCAAGGAGTTGAGCCCTTGTAGTCTCTTCCAGCTCTACAATACTACCTAAACCTTAAGATCCCCCAAGCCTGCTAAAACTTCCCTCTTGTATATATAGCACCCTTTTGGGCTACGTAACAACCAGCACTTTCAGAACTGTTGGTTTTTAATGTTGCTATTAACCAGAGCTTGGGAATGCTACTTCCCTGGACAACATTCCATTATGACCCAATTTGGGTAGCTATAGTCCAATTAAATAATCTTTCCAATCTCTGCTCTTGATGCTTAGATGCCTTTATTTATACTCAAAACCGCCCTCACTTTTGACTGGGACTGTGGAGCCCCAGATTCAAATGGATATGAAGCTCACTGGATAAATTTTGGGGAATCACTATTTCTTAGCATACCTCACAAGGTTAAAGTAAGGGTTAAAATAAAATAAGGGAGAACTATGAGCCCTGATAGAGGATGAGTGGGATACAAATGCAATAAGTAATTGGGAATAAATGTAGTCAGTGACATCAGTGTCTAATTGGTGGCAGGTATTTACTTTTCAGAATTACTGTATTTTGATTGTTTTACTGCAACAGGAATGGAAAAGAAAAGATTAAAGATTCACATTTCCTTCTAAAGAAAGCAGAAGCTTGTTTGTTAATGTGTAGCCCTTTGTTGTTCTTAATTTCCATCAAGTAGGCCTTGATTTATGACAACCCTATGATTCAGAGGTCTCCAAGTCACCTGTCCTGCTCAGGTCTTGCAAACTCAAGGCTGTGGTTTCCTTGATTGACTTGATCCATATGAAATATGGTCTTCCTCTTTTCCTGCTGCCTTCTGCCTTGCCAAGTGTTATTGTCTTTTGTAGGAAATCATGTCTTCCATGGTATGGACCACGTACGACAGTCTCAGTTTAGGCCTGATTTCAACTAGGACCCATTTGTATTTTTAGCAATCCACAATGTCTTCAGGACTGTCATATTGAGGATGGAGCAAGCTTGTTTTCTGCTGCTCCAGAGAATAGGACCCAGAACAATGGATGCAAGCTCCAGGAAAATTCCACCTAAACATTAGGAAGAACTTCCTGACACTAAGAGCTGTTTGACAGCGGAACACACTCCCTCGGAGATTTTGGTGGAGTCTCCTTCTTTGGAGGTCTTTAAGCAGAGGCTGGATGGCCATCTGTCAGGGATGCTTTGATTGGGAGTTCCTGCATGGCAGGGGATTGGACTGGATGGCCCTTGTGGTCTCTTCCAACTCTATGATTCTATCATTCTATGAACTCTCCTCAGTGCCATATTTCAAATGAAATTATTCATTTATCAGTTTTTTTTACTATCCAGCTTTCACAACTGTACTTAGAAATCAGAAGTACAATGGCATTAACAATCCAATCTCCAGGATTCAATGATATATCTTTATATTTGAGAATCTAGTTTCTTAATAGCTGCCCTTCCAAGACCTAGTCTTCTTCTGATTTCTTGACTGCCATCTCCATTCTATTTGAAGATTGACACAAGGTATAGGAAAACTTTGACTATTTAAATGTCTTCATTGTCTGTCTTAAAGTTATGTAAATAATCTGGGCTCCTTGTTTTTGTTTTCTTAATGTTCATCTGTAACTCTACCTTTGCACTTTATTCCTTAACTTTCTTCAATAGTCATTCTAAGTCTTTGCCATGTTATGTTAACAATATTTACTTTATACTTTTAAAAATGTCTACGGTATATTACATGTTTGGCTAGAGGCTGGTTTATTTAAATTTAACACATTTAATCAGTTAAAAGGCAGCAGGCAAACAACTAATCATTTTTCTATCATCATCAATAAGCGTCTCAACAGTTTGCTTTATCAGCTGAACAAATAGTTTACATTGTTAATTGTATCTGAAAAGAAAAGAGAAACCAGACTATTTTGCCTTCTGCAAAAGAGAAAATAAACCCATCCCTCCATAAGACCCAGGGAGATGGCTTTCTTTAGCAGGAACATAATGAAACCATCAAGAGTTTTCATTCAATTAGACTTCTTTTCCCTCTGGCTAAGGATGATGACACATTTGTTGTGTAATGGGCCAATTAGTTGATACTCCTTGTCTACTGGCATCTTATTAAATCTACATTTCCCATCTTTAAAAACAGAATTTAGATAATTGGGAACTGTGACAAGTATATCTTTCTCTTGCTCCAGATTAAGGTGAAAGACAATAAATGCAAGGATTTTTTTTAATTTTTATTGTGTGAAGCATGTTATTGCAAAAGTATTCTACCCTTTCTTAGTGTCTGCCTGCTAGAAAGTGAGATTTCTACACTACTGTCACCTGTAAAGCTTTTTTTTTACTCAAGGGAAAGTAATATCTTCTGAAAATGGTGTGGAATCTCACATCTCCATTCCCACCTCACCCTCACTGTATGTTGGCTGTGGGTGTGCTTCTGTGCAGCAGTACAGGTTGAAAATGGGCACTAAATGGACAGCAGGATCCACTGATGTAGCAGAACCAGAGCTTGGAACTTTTTTTTTATTAGATCAGGGCTTCTCTACATTACTTACAAACCCTGAATTCCTTCACTACATGCTGTTTCCATTGTTGTTGTTTTCCAACGTAGGGTGACCTTTAGATAGGATAGGAAGAAAATAAATTCATTTGAAATGTGGTGCTGGAGAAGATTGCTGAGGATACCATGGACAGCCAAGAAGTCAAACAAATGGGTCCTAGAGCAGATCAAGCCAGAAATCTTCCTGGAAGCCAAGATGACAAAACTAGGGCTGTCGTACTTTGGCCACATTATGAGAAGGCACGACTCATTGGAAAAAACAATAATGTTAGGAAAGGTGGAGGGAAGCAGAAAGAGAGGAAGGTTGCATGCTAGATGGATGGACTCTATAAAAGAGGTAATGGGTATGAATTTGCTGGAACTGAGTAGAGCTGTGAAGGATAGGGAGTCTTGGAGACATCTCATCTACAGGGTCACTATGGGTCAAGATCAACTTAAAGGTGGATAACAACAAAAGGCAAACTTATTATGGAGGTTTCTTGGCAAGATTCTTCAGAGGGAGTTTGCCATCACCATCCATTGCCATGAGAGAGTGTTATTTGCCTAAGGTCACCCAGTGGGTTTACGTGGCCAAGCTGGGTCATGTAGTGCTGTTTCCATTATCCAGGCCCCAAACCCATAATAAAGCAGCTTCATTTATATACCGCTTCATATCGCACATGGGATGTCTAAGCGGTTTACCGGGCTATTTTCACAACCCAAGAAAACAGAACTTGCTGGACTAGATAATGATGCTGACTGGGGTGTAGTGGTTTGAGTGTTGGACTGTAACTCTGGAGACCAGGGTTTGATCCCCAGCTCGGCCATGAAACCCATGAGCAAACCTGAGTTTTCAAGAGCTGAGCGAGATGGTTAGTCACAGGATCCTTTGGAGATCTCTCATTCATAGGATCACAGTAGGTTTAAGTCAACCTGACAACACATGCCAATAACAATAGCAGCAGCAGCAGCAACAACAACAGCAACAACAATCCCAGGTTATAAATAAAAATAAATAAAACTTTTATTTATATCCTGCTTTTTGTAAAAACAATCAGAGTACAACAATTTAAAATAATACAAAATATATACAATATCCCCTTCCCCTTAAAAAGAGAATTAAACAGTACTAAGATTAAAATTACAATCATTAAAAACAAAACAATAATACTACAATATTACAGTAACAGTGGGCAGAATCATCACAACTCACAAATCCACAAATATTGAGTGTCTTTAAGTGGCTGGGTGCTATCCGGGAAGGCCTGCCAGAAGAGATCCATCTTGACGGCTTTCTTGAAGCTATCTAGGTTGGAAATTTGACGGATCTTGTCTGGCAGGCCATTCCATAAGGTGGGAGTGACTGCAGAAAAAGTCCTCTGGGAGGTCACAACCAATCTGGTCTTCAATGGTTGCAATCGGTTCCTCCCAGAGGATTTGAGTGCATGGGGCGGATTATATGGAAGCAGGTGATTCCTTAGATAGGTTGGGACCAAGCCCAACTATTGAATTCAGTGGTGCCATTGAAAGATATAGCCATGTTAGTCTGTAGAATCCATACACAGAGAGATCTTGCAGTACCTTTGAAACTAATTGAAAGAAAGAAATTGGCAGCATGAGCTTTCATAGATTTAAGTCTACTTCATGAAATGCATCTGAGGAAGTAGCCTTAAGTCTATGCTGCCAACTTTATTTCTTTCATTAGTCTCAAAGGTGCTGCAAGATCTCTCTACAAACTTCTTCAGTGGTGCCAGTAGCAGTGCAAACTCTCCAGTCCTCTATTCCATGCTTGCTCCCCTTCCTTGCTCTCTCTCCCACCCCTCTTTGGAGGACCACTCAGGGCAAGACTCAAGAAAACTTATTAGCTCTAGAGAGAAAGACACCAGCACTTTCTTAGTTCAGGAAATTGGCTGATGCAGCTCTTTATAGCCCCTCCTCACCACAATGTTCTGCTCTAGAAAGCAAGCCCAACTTTTTAAAGGGGGGGGGCTCAAAAAACTTTTGCACTGAACACTGTTTACAGCAACTGAAGTAAGCTAAAAACAAAGGGCAACAATGGGAAGAGGAGAGGGAAGTTGGTGGGGGCTGCCAGCAGGTTGGGGGTGCACTCTTTGAAGCAGATGCATCACACTGCCTAATGGAAAACCCAACCCATCTTGGCCCAATCCAACACTTGTTGGGTTAATTTTTGAGCAGACATACAGAACAATAGCAATAGGATTTACATTTCTATACTGCTTATCGGTGAACTCAGCACTCTCTGAGTGGTTTACAACCTATACACCAATTGCCCCCAACAAGCTGGATATTCATTTTACCGACCTATGAAAGGATGTAAGGCTGTGTCAACCTTGGGGCCCTGGAATCGAACTCATAACCTTGTGGCTGCAGTACCAGCATTTAACCACTGTGCCACCAGGGTTCCTAAGCTTGCGTTGTTAAAAATACATAAGCTTACATTGTTAAAAGTTCTATATCCATTGAAAACTAATGCCTGGAGGTGTGTTCTATTTCCAGGATTGTTGGCGAAGTCTTGTTGTTAACTGGGAAGACGGTCCTGTAACTATATGTGGACCGGATTGTTGTTGTTTGCCTTTCAGCTGACTTTGACTAGATTTGCTAGGGTTTTCCAATTGCCTTCCTCTAGAAGTGTGAGAGAACTGTACTTGTTATATACCAAACGTTATTTTTTTGTCAAGCAAAATTATGCAATTGTATCATATTTTATATAATAATAATACATTATATATTCCTAAAGAAACAAGTCTGTAAAGGATGCTAGTATTGTATTTTTTACAATTTTTCCACAACATTCTATTTTTTTTTCATGGAAGGGTACAAAAAGAACACCTCCTAAACTTCAAAATTTCTGAAAATTGTATATTTCTTGGAGCAATAGCCAAGTGTCTGCCACTATCACACCTCTTCCCCTGCATCAAGTGTCATCTGATTCAGATACCCTACTCAGATGATCTTCTTGAGACCAAATTCCATTATTATTATTATTATTATTATTATTATTATTATTATTATATCCCACCTTTCTCCCAATATAGGGACTTTGCAGACTTTGAGCTGCCAGTGTTACTTTAGGGTCAGCTTACTGTAAGACAATAGATGGGCCATTGGGCTAAATTGAGCAGAAGGGACTTTTAGTTCCTCAAAAAGCCTTTTACTGGTGTGGCATACTCTCCAACATTTCACAAATGAAAACTGGGACACGTGTGGTCAAGTAACATCGGAGTATGGTCAAGATGGCAAAAAGGTATTAATGAGAAAGAACACACAAGCTAAAAGAGGCTGCAGCAGTTTGCTTTTGCCTCAGCATACTGGGACGGGCAAGATCTCACTCCTTCCTCTCCTCTCCTTCCTGCTGTGTTATTTGAGCATAGGCTACTTTGAACATAGTTTACAGCAACTGAAGTAAGCCAAAAATAAATGGCAACAATGGGAGGCTGAGAGAGAAACTGGGCCATTTTAAAAGCAACTGCAAAAGTGGGACAACACAGGATTAATTGGAATTGTCACTGCCAAATCAGGACAGTTGGAGGGTATTCTACTCTTATTTCTGTATAAGCAGCGAGAATCAAACATAACACAACAGCACAGTGAAGGCTTCAAAATTTCTGGAATTTTACACCTCTGCTCCTGATGTACCCAAAACAGACCGATGCAGCTTCTTATTCAGTTATGTGTAGGATATCAGTGGCTGTATCTGCTCTGCAGAAGTAATCCAGTTTGACACTACTTTAACTGCCTTGGCTCAATGCTATGGAATTCTGGGAATGGTAGTTTGTAGGGGCACCAGAGTGAAGATCCCTAGTAGGTTAAAGAGAAAAGGCCTACTGTAACTTTCTCTCTGAGATGGGTCTAAGACTTTGAATGTACACAAAGTTTTAGGTCCTGCCTTCTGAATTAAGCAGATATGGACTTAGCAAAGGCCCTCAAGAGGAGATCAAGTCCCAGGAAGTCCATGAATGGGGTACAAATATAAAGATGTACAAACGCCTCCAGTTTTCAAACTGCAATAAAAGAGAAGTGTATAGGTCCCACTCAAGTGGCAAATAGCATGGGTGGTTTAGTGACCGACTGCTAACCTTCCACCCTAGTTTTCTTTCTAATCTTTATTTTTCTTCATCAGAGTAATTATTGATTAGCTTAAGGCAAAGCTGATGAGTAACCATATGGGGATGTCTGTTATCCGAGTGGATTAGCATTTGAATCTAACTGCCTTCCATCTGAGGAGTCTTCGAGATCAATAGAAGATGAAGAAGAGATCAGAGTGATTAGCCTTGTAACCTTGCCTTTTGTAAATCCTGTAGTGTGTCTTTGGGGGAAGGGGGCATGGAGGGGAAGTGATGATCTAATGAGAACTCTTTGTTAAACATGAGATATTTTCAACAAATCCTTCTCTCTCCCCCCCGCCCTTTATTTTCCCAAAAGAAAGATGAACGGTTCCAGGAGCAAGAAAAGTAGACAGGAATAGATCTAGTCATTTATTCTTTCCACTCTGCCTTCCAAATATAAGCTATCTTGAGCAGTGAGGTATTCAAGTCTTTCACTCCAAGTCTCAAGTCTCTACCTTCAAGTCAGGTCTCAAGTCCTTCCAAGATACTTTCAAGTCAAGTCAAATCTCAAGTCCGGGAGCCAACATTAACAGAAAACAAAGAGAGGTGGTGGTGGTATGTGTGTGTTGGGAGTGGTGGTTGGCGTTTCAATCACTAGAAAATCAAGAAGATGTACATACATAAAGTTGGGTAAAAAGTTTTTTAAAAAATTAAAAATTAAATTATCATAGGCAGTTTATCAAAATTGCATTTTAGAAAAATGAGATTTACATACTCAGCAGCCTGTCCCTGCTGCACATCAGAGGAGCCTTCTAAAGAAAAGCTTTAGATAAAATCCTCCTGTTTCAGGCCTGTTGTCTAATGCATTTGCTGTTCCCCTGGAAGAAACTTATTGCTGAACCAAGGCCAACCAGTCAGTTGGTAAAAAATATCCAAGTCACGAGTCAAGTCAGTGCATCATTTATTGCTGGGTCAACTCCGAGCCAAGTCACTGAAGCGACTTGAGTCTGACTTGAGTCTGTCAATCGACTTGAGTCTACATTACTGAAGTTGGTATAAAAGCAAATGAAGGTTGACTTTGTACACCTCACTACATCCTAAAAATGAATCCTGTAGAATTTGAAAGGATAACAAATTTGTCAGAGTATGTGCTTTTGTTGATTTCAACCCACTCCAAAGGAGGTACAGAGTGTGATCCAAATTTTCAGGGAGGGATGTACACACATATAGGTGACATAAGTGGATACAGTCCTTCATACAGTCTGGACTCAGGCCATACACATATATACTGCTCATGTCCAGGCTATGCGAGGACTACATCTCCCTATGTGAGCCTGTCCACTTATGGCAACCCCATGTATTTCAAAGGGTTTTCTTAGGCAAGGTTTTGCCAATTCCTTCCATTGAAATATAGCATACAGCATCTGATATTCATTGATGCTCTCCAATCCAAGTACTAACTAGGATTGACCCTGTTTGGCTTCCAAGATCAGACAGAATTTGGTGCCTTTAGCGTATTTAAGCATCATGAACAAGCAATTAAACCAACCAACTTTATATAGAATTCTTACAAAAATATGCAGCGGCACTAAGTAACAAAAAGCTATGAGACTTACACAAACTCACCAATAATAAGCAAGCACTTATGTACATCTAACTTGTTCTTTGTATCTTATCTCAATGTTCTAGGTGCTGTCATTTCAGCAGAACATGTCAAGATGTTTTAAAACATGACTGAGAGTGTCTGGTAATATTTAATT